GTATATATATATATATATATATATACACACATATATATTATTCATACCTTCGGTAAATTTTGGGTTAAAAAGTGCGGCTTGTACACCGAAAAATATGGTAGTATATTCTTATCACAAACCAATACTCATACATATATGAAATAGTGAAATTCTACTTCTAGTGTTTGTTTATTTATTTTATCTATAGGGTAACAACACATATGTTATTAAAAAAACAAATTTGATGGCACTTTTGATGCCTTTGCGATATACATCATTTACCTTAAAAGTGCTACACAATAAACATGGTTATTAAGTGTTTAAACAATTTTAAACGTTTGTTTCGAAACAATCAGCTTAATGCTACTGCACTGTTCTTTGTACGGTAAAACACAGTGCTTCCGAACGAAACAAAGAAAACTTTAGAACCAATCATGGAACAGACAAGCACATCGCCGCTAAGAGCATTGTTTAAAACCTGGCGCCATGCGGCCATTGTAGCGTGCTTCCGCCTTGATCCTAATCCAGACCCAACACCTATTATCGATATTAAATACGTTAGTTTCTCCAAGAACAATTTTTATTCAAATAACCGATAACTGGTTCACCACTGATTAAAACAACTATAAAACGACTCTGAGTTTAGTTTTAGAATAATAAAAACCTGGTTTAAAATGCTTAAACTTAGTAATAACATTTTAAAACAAATTATTAATATTGTAAATATGAGTTAGTTTATGCAAAAAACAATAACCATCTTTCGGAAAGCAAACAGTCTTGTAAGTAGAAACATTCAGTGAGAGTATTCACCTGGTACTGAAATAAAACTCGGGTGTTTTATTTTAGCTGGTTTTAACCAATAAACATCAGATAAGAAACGATAGTTACTTTAAAAGTCTGTTTCATGTATAATGAAAGTTACAAATGTCATTCTTTAGCATTAAAATTATTCGCACAAATAAATGTAATATTTAAATTTCACAGTTACTTAACAGTTTTCTGATGGTTGATTTTTAGTATATTCGAAGGAGCTTTTCTCTCTTTATAACTTTGATAAAAAGTTTAGAAAAAACAACCTTTACACTCCAGATGTATATAAATGATAAAAAAAAATTAACCAACGTTTCACTTTTGGGGCTTCATCAGGGTTAATATACACAACTGTGTATATTATAACTATTTTATATGTATAACTATCTTTATAACTACTGTGATTAACGGTATCAAATTTTGTAACAACAATTAAAAGAGCTTTATCTTATAACAATTACAATTATAACAATTTAGTGGCATCATCAAATACAACCTACAGAATGTTTGCAATGATAATTATTTGTATCAATAAACAATCTAAACTCAGGTGTTGAAACCATAAATAACAGGATACACTAAGAATAACACTTAACTTGTGCTATCTTGATGTCTAGTTTAACATATCAAAATGCAATTTTTAGTTTAACTTACTTGTAGAAGAACAGAATAATGTGTAATTAAAGCACAAGTTGTGTGTTGGTTCACTGTGTTTAGTTATATAAAATAAGTTGTGAAAATTAATGTGATAACTAAGAGTTAACCAAAGATTTTTGTAAGCATCACAAACACTACTAATATTCAAAATGCTTCAAAACACATGGAAGCAACAATACATTATAATTTTAAAGTAACTCTGTGTTGTACAGGTAGTGAATGACATTCTGTCATCAAAAACCACTATCCAAACATTTACACAAAATTGTAATAAGCCAACCTTTCATTGCATTAGTTAGAAAAGAAAAAAACTTTTATGTAATAATTAACCATGCTAGATGTTACTTGTGACAATGGTTAGTATTAATCCATCTACCTAAAACAGAATGTTAATGAACATGGGAATATGTACCATAAGCCAGAACTATTTTTTCCCTCCATACTTAATGATGCAAGTTTGAAACAAAAAAAGACTTGCAAATTTCACAACTGTTACACAACAAAATTATGGCTTCTGTAGAAATTGTCGAAGTGACAGTGTATAAAAGTAAAAGAAATATACATTAGAGCACATTTTTTTAACCAGTAAAGAAAATGTTTCACAACTTTTCTTTTTCTAAAGCTTTTATAAATAAACCAGTTTCTAATCTTGGACAAAATACAAGATTCACTGTAGTGTAGACAGTATATTAAGCTTAGATGATAATGAATCCTGCCTTTTTTAAACATTAAATTTACAAAACTTGTTTTGAAGTCACGTTACAGTTCTAATATAGAATTTTTTTCAATGAATTAAAATCTGAGATAAGTCTATTACTTGTATTTGATAAAAAAAACAATTCTCAACTATACACTTATCAAACTTGAGTTATATATATCAAATATAGTACTATTATTTCATGCATTTTATTATGTTTTTGCTCATTTCTTACTTATTAATTCCTTTCCGATGTTTTAATTTAATAAATCTAATTTTAACCCAATAAACTTAATATTTAAACTAGTAATTGTAAACTATATTACCTATACATATTTATTAATGCAAATAAACTCAGACTTTTATCTCCAGAATATAATTTTATTCCTCAATAATTTGCCATTACAGCTTCATCAGAAGTAAACAATCACCTACAAGTTCTGGAACCAAGCTAAAACAATTTAGAACACAATCACCACCTCAATGAATAACTAGTCACATAACTTAAGGCATGTACCTACTTAATAATAATATCATCAAACCTTTTTGAATTTAGATTGTTGAAACAATGCAAGCCAACAGCAGTGGATGAACAATGAATGTAGATCATCTGGTAAACAATTAAAATCATATGACTACTAAAATATTTCTTTATGTATACTATATGAACCTCATATTCATTAATATATTCACCTTACTTAAGTATATTAGCTATACTTATAGTTGTAACTAAGTTAAACATATTATTTCCAAGTTATTAATTTTTAATTTTACATAAGTGTTTGATGATTTAATAGATATTCAAACTGTTAGTAACAGTGTTACCATTACATTTACAATCACAATATAGTTTTTATTAATCATCAGTTTAATGAATGCTAGAATCTATTATGTAACTTATAAGAAAATTAGCTCTTAGCCAGAAGGTAGTGCACCTATACAAGTTCAATTATAAAAATGTAAAGACAGAACATAAAGTTTTATCGTTAAAATTGAAATGTAATGGAAAATAAGGAATCATAAGAAACAAACTCGAAAGCAGTAGTACTACTACTAGTAATAGTTGCCACGCTACCAGTACCACGGTACTAGTAAATAGTAGTATCTTCGGCTATTAGTATTACTATTCTTGTTAGTTAGTCAGTTAGTGTTAGTAAAATAGTATTCGCAATCTTTATCATGCTCGTTTCAAATTCAAACTTATGACCACGTTATACTATAGTATACTGATAGTGACACAAACTTTGAATTGCAGGAAATAACTACTGGCAATATTAAAAATTCACACAAACACCATAAGAAAGTAAGATAATATTTCATTAATATTTTGTTCATATAAAAAATTACAACTCAATCAGTTAATATGCGCCAAAACACTTATGATTTATCCCTACCAGACAACTACAAACAAACGTTGATGGATGGCGTAACTTAAGCATGCAACTAGCATGGCTGGCTCAACCGCGACTTAGCCCTACCATTAGCAGCTAGTCACAACTTAACTTACCTCTGACGCTGTTCTTTTCGTTGGACTTTTTTCTGATTTTAAATCTCCGGATGCTTTTTCAGTTTCTTTAAGTTTCTCTTCGGCTCTTTGTGTGGCAACTTCTGTTTTGTTTTCTGTAGAACTCATTGTGACTGTGAAATTTAGGAGCGAGCAATCGACCGTTCTCCTTTGTTCAAATTCGTGAAAATGGCGCGTGGATTCTCCCACAAGGTCTCAAACAAATATGTATGATCAAAAAAGTATAAGAAAAAAGTACAAAAATATTTTTAGAAAATGTTTCGTAGGATTTAATGAAATAATAAAAATATTATCTTAAAATATATGTTAACTTTAATATTTTAAGTTTGTACGTTTACGTAAACGTTATATTAAAAAATAACAACAGCCGCTAGAGGGCTGACAATATCTGTGAACTAGGTAAATGCTAGTAGAAATCGCAGACTGCAAGAATAAACTGCCAATATATATATATTCTATATATATAGAACTCATTTCTTCTTTATAAAGAACTCTCAGTGATATGAATGAAATTACATTTTTTATGGCAAAGTGCACGACTGCCCAACTTTGTTGGAAGTCGGGGTGAGTAACAACAACAAAAAAAAAGCTATATGAATCTAGTACAGTTGTTAATAATAGTGTGTATACACTAACTGTAAAATGTGTAAGAGGCAAATGTCCCTTTGGTTCTGTGTTAGGCGCCTATGCAATATTAGAAGAGAAACGAACAAGAAAACTGGTACTTTATTAGTAAGATAAGAATTTGTAAATAATAATGAACTCCAGTACCCACGCTTGGGAATCTACTTATGATATGCATATCATTAATTATTATTTTAATATATATATATATATAATAAGAGTATGGACAATAAATTATGAGGAAATACGATATGGGAAACTCTTATATTAATACATGATTGAAATTTAGAACAGAACAAGGAACTGTACATTTATACCAGGAAATCATTTTCATTAGTTCAAGAAATGTTTTAAACGTAAGTGTGCGAGTTTACTTTATGAAACACAGTGCACAATTTGACCATCAGCTAAAATGGGCATATCGAACGTCAGTACGAGTTAATATATTTTCAAAAAAATATGACAATAACGATTAAGAAAGCATTTAGCTGCGGGAACTTACAACAATTTAAGGGATTAATCAATTCAAAAGTACAATAGTAAATTTCACAGTAAACAAGTTCTAATTTTAATAATTACAACGTTTTAACCAATAGTATCGAGTAATCATCAGATAAGAATGTTTTCAAAAACGCAGTTCAATTCCAAAGAACGTTACAGACTCGCGATTGTGAAGATAAGATTAAAGGTGGCGTTAGATTAGCTTTTTGAAATAACATGGGATGAATAAAATACTAATATAGATAATGGTTCCTGAATATTTACATAGCGTTGACTTGATGACTTTATCAATTGCGTTCAGCTACTTTTCTCCTATCGATGTCTGGTTCTCTTCACACGGTTTCGACATTGTTTTCATTGATATATATTTTTGTTTCTTTGAGATGTTCAAAAACATGTGAGGATCCTTTCTCTCCAGTGTATTCGATACAAGGATTTGTAAGGCCCGGCATGGCCAGGTGGTTAAGGCACT